AGAGAGAGAAAGAGAGAGAGTGAGGGAGTTAGTAGTGATTGTGTTGGTATCATGCTATATGTGTGTATGAGTGTGTGCGTGTGTGTGTGTGTGTGTGTGTGTGTGTGTGTGTGTGTGTGTATTTTTGTGCTACAAAAACGGACAGAAGTGGACTGTTCCTTTCTTTGAATGAAGAGATCAATGCACCGTTGTATCCTGACAATGTACTTTCTCTTGTTGAGATGATCTCGACTTCCTCGTTGGGTCTGGTGAAATGGTATGGGTTTCACGCCCCTATCAACACTATTAGGTTATCAAAAAGGCGTGACATCCGAGTTTAACGTCCATCTCCGAAAGGACTGAGCCAAATCGGAATTTCGTGTAAAGTGCCCTTCCCAAGGATACAACGTCGGACCGAGCTGAGGCTCGAACCCCCGACCTAGCAATTTCACGATTTCGGGTCCGGTAGCCTAACCACCAGGCCGTAACAGGCGCCACCTCTTTGGGTCTGCATTATAGAAGAAAATACTCGAAGGTAAGATCAGATCTGATATGGGACAAAAGGGCCTATCTATGGTGGACAAGGAACAATGTGGACGTATAGCATCAAGGCATGGACTGGCCTAGGTATGACAGAGTGTGTGACGACAGATAGCGACTGTAAGCAGTGGCAGGTCATTGCACGTCAACCTCTGAGCTAGAGATGACACCTCCAGGTAATACAATGTCATGTATTATATAGATCATATCTCCGATCGTTGCGATCAGTCCAGTGGGGGGTGAGAGGGGGGGGAGAGGGGTCAGGGGGAGGACACTGGTTTCAACTTCTTCTTTACTTAATTTCTTCTGAAAAAGATAATACAGCATTGTATTGTTTTGCAGGCCACTAGATCTACTGTATGTGAATAAACTATCTAACAGTAGCTACCCAGGTCTCCAACTTCTCTTCGTCCTTGGATGCTAAGTATCACCATCAGCCAGGCCTGTCGAGAGGGGGGTCAAGGGGGGGAAGGATACGGTAGTAAAACACGACGTACGGATAGGGTTAAGAATTTTAAAGTGTGTTAATTTAAAAACAGATATGGAAGATATTTTCACGGTTAAGCAGGAGCTTTTTTTTGGGGGGGGGGGGGTCCGTCTGTGCAACAACTACAGACGTCATCATTATCTAATTAGCGCATGCGCGCACAAAGACGATGATCCAGTAAACGCAGTCATTAATCTGTTTAGGATTTGACAAGTTTCCATCAATTCATTGATTAAGCTTTTCGCGTGTATGTGTTTATGGTGTGGGCTCGTCACATCTCGAACTTTTATGTGATATTTATTGCTCGGGGCAGGCCTTTCTTCTGAGACGTACGCTATCTACAGGTATGTTGGGGAGGATGAAAAATTATGTGATGCGGTGGTGGTGAAGTTGTTGTTGTTGATGTTGTTTTTGCTTTTGTTGTTACTGTTGTTATTGTTGTGGTGGTGGTTGTGGTGGCGGTTTTCGTGGTGATGGTAGTTGTTGTTGTTGTTGTTGTTGTTGTTGTTATTGCCGTCGTTGTTTTTGTTGTTTTTTTGTTGTTATTGTTGTTATTGTTGTGGTGGTGGTTGTG